TCTCCAAGAACCGGTGCAATAGGACCTATTCTGCCCCTGGATAAATAACCTGGAAAAACGCCTCCTGTGCCACGACCAAGATTTGAGGGTCGAAGACTTGTTCATCTCCCGCGTGACCAAGAGGAGAGTCCGGCGCTGAAGGTCCGCTCCGGCGGGAGGAATGCGACGCTGGCTCCTCCGCCCTCGGGCCGGGGCCTGGCTGTGAGCTGACACACCCCGAGCTGTCTGGGGGGGTAGGAAGGACGCGCAGTGACCGCGGCACGAAGACGATCCGGTCGGACTGCGGCGCTCAGCCCACCTGCAGCCACGCTGGCTGCCGTGTCGCTCCTTTTCCACGTCGCGCTCCTTGCTGCGGTTACAGGAAACGCTTCTTTCGTCTCCCCCCACCCTGAGGCTTTGACTTTAGGACCTGGTTTTCAGGCCTACTGCAGGCCTGCTCCGTCAAGACAACCCTCTCTTAACGTTGACTGAAGGCAGCGAACTGTATCCGTGCCCCCGCTGTCCCGAGGGATACCGTTGGGTTAAAACCACGTTGGTTTTAGATGATTAAAACTGGGAGGATGGTTCCTTCACTGGTGTTTTGTTTACTCCATGGAAACCCTGGTTCTCTTCCCGCACTAGTCTCGCTTCCAAGTTCTCCTGCCGTGCCAGGGAGCCGCCTTCGGCCGTTGCCGACTGTTGAAAGCCCGTCGTCGGAAGCTTTATTCTCGTGCTCTTGAATCTCAAAATGTGTGCTCAACACACTTGTTTTTTAAGGCAGATGTTTGCAGAAACGGTCGCTCCCTCCTACGCTCGCTGCGCCCGCCCTTTCTGCCCTGATAACGTAGCTACCTTCTTGTGGGAAAACCGGTGGCTGGTTTGGGGCGTTTTCCTGTTTAATGGGTGTAAGTGGCTTGACAACCTCCGGCTGCGAGGGTAGCGTCTCCCACGGTGTGTTCGGGAGCCCCTCGTAGCCCTTTGGTAGCCCAAGGTACCACTCTCATCTCGGTACGGACCAAACAGCGCTCCGTACTTCTTCTTCCCGCTCCTCAGTACCGTAGCACGGGCTGAGCCCCCGTGAACTCCTGTTTCTGCTACTCCAGAGGTTTCTGCATGTACTGGTTTGTCCGGCTTCCCGAAATAAAGGCCGTGGACACCCTCCTACCACTCTCACCTCGCTCCCAAATAAGTAGCAGCGTGGCGGAAGCCGCTTTTAAACGTAGCTGAGTTCTGGCGTGTGGCTGGGGCTGTTGCGGGATTGCTGTAACACGGGAATTTCATGCTCCTTAGGGAAAAATCTGCCTGGTTTCTCTTGGATGGGGCACCGGTGTTGACTCCCCTGGGGAAGTGTTGTTTTACCTGCCCCCGTCCGCCTAAATCCTGCCGGTCGCGTGAACGTGTGCGTCTTGCAAACCGCCTCCCTTCTTCCCTCGTGCAGATGCTCCGACAGTCAGCTGGCCCAGTCGAGAAAGCAAGTAGCCAAGAAAAGCACTTCCTTCCGTCCTGGCTCCGTGGGATCCGGGCAGTCGTCTCCTTCTTCCCCCGTCCTGAGCGACACGCCTCCGTCGGGAAGGAGCGGTGCGTCCCAGCAGCACCGGTAAGCGAAGCTGCTTCCCACTCTCACAAACCCAGCGATATCCCTGCGTCCGTTTGAGAATCTGGGATGCCGGTACGGATTTGGGGCTTGCTTGGTTAATTTTGTTCCACACGGTCGGAGCATTTGTCTCCCTCTGCCCTTGTTCTCCCTCCCAGACGACTGTTTGTTGTGTTGATGGTTTGAGCTCGAGTCTCTATCAGCCCTGACCAGCGCTTACCCTGGTGGGACCCAGGCCAGCACCTCTGCCCCTGCTTGTTTTTGGGTGACTCCTGTTTCCACGAGCTTCCAGGGGTCAGGGGGAAGCTGCGATGACATAAATCCGCAGGTGGCTTTTCCACACTGCTGGCTTTGTTGTGGCCATCAACCCGCAGCCCGGCAGCTGTCGATCCCGGTTTGCAGGCCGCAGCCAGCTTTGTCCTCGTTTCTGCGTCCCTGGTTCTGATCTGGGGGTTCTTTTTTGTCCCTCTGCTCCGGGAACACTCCCTCTGGGATCTGCCCAGCTTCCCGCTGGGGCTTGTGTCTACATGGACTAAGCAGCAAGGGGTGTCCCCACGTGTAACTGGCAGCTGCTTTGGTGGGAATTAAGTGCCTAAAACCCCTGGGCGGTTTGAGGAGAGAGCACCGCAAAAACTCTCCCTCCCGCACCGCCTGCTCACCGTATCCCCTTTTCCAGCGGCCAGGCCGGCAGCGGCACAGCGCAGGCCTTCCACGGCATGATGGACCGGGTGCCCAACGAGCCCTCGTACCGAGCGCCGCTGGAGAAGCTCTTCTACCTGCCGCACGCCTGCAGCAATTCCTGCCTGTCCCGCGTCCGCCCCATCCACAGCGACCAGTACCGCAGCAAGAACCCCCTGCTCATCCCGCTGCTCTACGACTTCCGACGGATGACGTCCCGGCGGCGCGTTAACCGCAAGATGGGCTTCCACGTCCTCTACAAGACGCCGTGTGGGCTCTGCCTGCGATCCATGCAGGAGATCGAGCGCTACCTTTTCGAGACGGACTGCGACTTCCTTTTCCTGGAGATGTTCTGCCTCGATCCCTACGTCCTGGTGGATCGCAAATTCCAACCCTACAAACCCTACTACTACATCGCCGACATCACCAAGGGCAGGGAGGACGTGCCGCTGTCCTGCGTCAACGAGATCGACAACACCCCGCCTCCCCAAGTGGCCTACAGCAAGGAACGCATCCCCGGAAAAGGCGTTTACATCAACACCAGCTGGGAATTCCTGGTGGGCTGCGACTGCAAAGACGGCTGCAGGGACAAGTAGGTGACTCCTTGGGTGGCACAGAGGGTGGGGGGATGGCGCCTCCACCGTGCTGCCGGCCCTGGGGGCGACCCAGAGCCCACGCTGCTGGGCTGGGTCGCAGGTTTGACTCCAGGTATCCGTCTCCACGGGCAGAAAAATGGGATTTCTTTACCTTCCTGCAAATCCCATGTGTAAACCTAACCTCTGGGCCGTGGGTGAGGTTTTCCTTGTGTGTCTCTCCAGATCCAAATGTGCCTGTCACCAGCTGACAGTCCAAGCGACCGGCTGCACGCCGGGCGGGCAGATCAACCCCAACTCGGGATACCAGCACAAAAGGCTGGAAGAATGCCTCCCGACCGGGTAAGCAGCGCCGCGTCCGCTCCTTCCCTCGCCGATCCCAGCCCCAGGAACCCCGATGCGTTTCCCAGAGCTCAGCACAGCGCCTAAAAACCCGCCTCTGTTCTTGATTCACCCCCCTCACGTGCGGGCCGGGATCTCCGTGCGTTCCCGTAAAACCCGGCTGCGCTCTCCCCGCTCTGCGGAGCTGGAAGCCACCGCCGCGAGTCCCTTTGCGTGGTGACTGGCACAGCACCGAGCCGGGGGCCGGGGCTTTGGCCAAGATGTCGCTCTCCTCCCTTCTTTCAGCGTTTATGAGTGTAACAAGAGGTGCAAGTGCAACATCAACATGTGCACCAACCGCTTGGTCCAGCACGGCCTCCAGGTCCGGCTGCAGCTGTTCAAGACGCAGAACAAAGGCTGGGGCATCCGCTGCCTCGACGATATCGCCAAAGGCTCCTTTGTCTGCATCTACGCAGGTGGGTTCTCGGCCTGCGCTGCTGGTTGTGGTCAGGACAGGGTTAATCTCCTTCACAGCCACTGGTAGGAGGCGACGGTTTTTGGATTTACCCTGAGAACAGCGCTGATAAGGTGTTTTTTAGCTGGTGCTGGGGAGTGCTGGCACCAAATTCAAGGTCTTTCCCAGCTTCTGATACTCCCTGTTTTCCCAACTTCCTCACTCCGAGCAGCTGGGGGGGGACACCGCTCAGACAGCCGACCCCCGCTGTCCGAAGGGGGATCTCATCCCGTGGCACGGCATGATCGCTACCTAAACCAGGAGTGGGCCGGGGGGCTATAGCTCCTTTGCTCGCTCGTTCGTTAGCTCACTTGTTCGTTAGCTTGCTCGTTCATTAGCTCATTTGTCCGTTAGCGAGCTGGGGGGTCGGTGGGCTTTCCCGGCTGTGCTGTCGCTCTGGGGTCACGCGGACTCTGCTGCGATCGCTCTGGGGCACCGACTGTCACTACTCGGGACCTGGCTGTGCATTGGTCGGCGGGGGGGGAGCCGAAACCGTTTTATTTGCTATTACTTTAATTACTTATTAGTAGTAGCATTGTTAATATTATTAACATCACTACAATATCCATTTATATTCAGTTATTAAGTAGTTTTTACCTCAATCCACGGGCTTCCTTCCCCTTTCCTCCTGCGCTGGAGGAGGGGGCAGGAGAGCGAGCGGCTGCGTGGTGCTTTATTGCCAGCGAGGTTAAGCCCCGAGAGCAGCGAGCAGGCAGCCGGCAGCGTCGTTTGGAACGCGGGGCTGTGCAGGAAAAGCCTTTCAGGCAGCGCTTTTCCCAGGGGTCCCGTGTGTCCGGCTTGGAATCGGCTTGGGGTTGGTTAGGGAGGGGAGAATGAGCGTTTGCTAGACGACAGCTCCCTTCCAGCCTAAACCCTTCTGTGATCGGGTGGGGTCAGGCCCAAGATTTAAGGTTTTGTTTAGCGCTAAACACAAAACCGGTGTGGGCCTGAAGCTCTTCCCGAGCTTAAGAGGGCAGGAAGGTAACAGCTGGGATGGGGAACTCGCAGCACTTGGATTTCCCGAGCGCTGCCGCTGCGGAAGCAGCAGGGCTGCGGCGCTCCCGGCCACCGCTCCTGTGTGCTGAGGGTGCCTGGGCACCTACCTCCTTCCTGTTTACATCGAACCGCTCGCGGGGGTGTCGGCCCCGGCGGTAAAATGCAGAAGTTGGGCAGCGGGGTTGCCTTCACTCCAACCTGGAACTAACCACAGGCATCGCCCGAGTCCTGGTGCTCCGCTTCCCCGCCCTTCACGCTGCCTCAGCGCTACGCCCTCGCCTCCGGCTCGCAGGATCGAGGGATGGGTTGGGCGGGGAGGGACCCCAAAGCCCCCCCGGCCCCATCCCCTGCCATGGGCAGGGACACCTTCCATAGCCCAGGGTGCTCCAAGCCTCATCCAGCCTGGCCTTGGACACTCCCAGGGATGGGGCATCCACAGCTTCTCTGGGAACCTGTCCCAGTGCTCCCGCCCTCTGCGGGAAGAATTCCTTCCTGATGTCCCATCTCCATCTCCCTCTTTCCGTTCAAACCCGTCACCCCTTGTCCTGTCACTCCCTGCCCTTGGGAAAAGCCCCCCCAGCTCTCTTGTACCCCCCAGGCACTGGAAGGGGCTCTTTGAGGTGCTGGTTAGGGATTCCCGTGGCGGAAGCCCGGATCCTAGCGAGGTCCCGCTGGAATCAGCCACGTGCCTCCCAGTCTCATTCCCTGGAGTATCAGGGTAACACGTTGCCCTTTCCCATCCCGGCTGTGGAATGAGGTGGTGTCTGTCCCGTTTACTCCTCATTGAGCCTTTGGGGAGGATAAAATTGATGGAGTCGGAACGTCAACCCCTGGCAGACACACGCTTAAGTGTCCCATTTCCTACCCGCAGGGAAGATCCTCACGGATGACTTTGCCGACAAAGAGGGGTTGGAGATGGGTGACGAGTATTTTGCCAACCTGGATCACATCGAGAGCGTGGAAAACTTCAAGGAAGGCTACGAGAGCGACGCCAAATGCTCCTCCGACAGCAGCGGGGTGGACCTCAAGGACGACGAGGAGGAGAACACGGGCACGGAGGAGCAGGAGGAGTCCAACGAGGACAGCTCCGACGACAACTTCTGCAAGGACGAGGACTTCAGCGCCAGCTTGGTGTGGCGCAGCTACGCCACGCGCCGGCAGACACGGGGCCAGAAGGAGAACGGCCTCTCGGAGACGGCTTCCAAGGATTCCGGCCTCACCCGGCAAATCAGCCACGAGGAGACGGCGGTGGCTCCTTCCTGTAAGCCGCCGGTGTCGGAGGAGACCTCCAAGAACAAGGTGGCCTCGTGGCTGAGCTCCAACAGCATGGCCGACGGCTTCCAGGACAACGACAGCACCTCCTCCTTCAAGATGAGCGAAGGCAGCGAGGCCAAGGCCGTCAAAACGGAGCTGCCGGCGGAGAAAGCCTCCGCTTCGTCCCTGGGCGACCCGGATGGGGAGTCGAAGGCGTCCAAGAAGGAGGTAAGGGAGGGCTGGGGGAGGAGCGTTGCCCCCCGGCTTGGGGGGCAGGGGTGCGGGAACGGGGGCGCAGAGGTGCCTCGGCTGTGCTCGAGGGGCTCCTCAACCCACACGACACGACGTGGGGGGGCTCCTGGGTGTCCCCTCGCCCCGTCTGCTCGGCCTTTCCC